TTGTCTTCCGGTTTTTTATTATTATTATTACATTGCGTTGTATTAGTTTTGTAACCCGGGTCACACTCTGGTCAGTCAGACCAATCCTGCTCCATGGAGTTCACACCTGGTTGAACAAACAAACGTGAACTTTAGGCCACTACATTTTGATAGATTAAAACAAAACGAGCGAACAACAAAAAAAACATCATTGTGTAAAGTAGCACGAATCTTGGAATTCCCGGAGAAAACCCTCGCGCGCATGCGAAGGGGAAAGAGAAGAAACGGTTCGCGTCAGTGGCTGCGAGCGTGCGCAGCTGTGAGTGGGACTCCGCTGTTGCTGCTGCTGCTGCTTCTTGTCGGGAAGAGCATGATTGCGGGTATTGATGCGTTATTTGCAATCCCGTTCGCTGTGGGACTGGAGCTCTTATCTGTATTCCGACCTTGCGGCCAGCAGAGGGTTAGGGCGAGGGGGGAGAGAGAGTGAGAGAGAGGGAGAGAGTGAGAGAGACAGGGGAGGGAGAGAGGGAGAGCGAAAGGAGGGGGCTGGTGGGACGGAGGCAGTCTGAGGAGGCTGGGAGACCTGTCAAACACATCAGCACTTTTCCTTCTGTGAGTTCCCCACGGCCGGGATTTGGAGGCGAACCATCTGCGCTGTCCACTCTGCTCGGAGCCTTGCCACCCCCCCCACCACCCCCATCCCTCCACCCCCAACTCCTCCACTCACCACCGGTCCTCTCAATGCCCGCGCCAAGCAGGGGCTAAGCGGGCACGGGGTTATGCCCCCCCCCTCCCCGTGTGGCGGAAACGCCTCGTGAATGTTGGATGATGCAGCCCTCCGCGTGCCCTAACCGTGAAGAGGACGGGCACATCTGTCCGCACAGATAACCCGCGGCAGAACGGCGTCGATTCTCACGACATTCTTCTTCATCGTCGTCGTCAGCCATGATCTAGCCACTGCCGGATGAAGGCATCCTTGCGAGATGTTGTTTTATCTCGTGGTCGTGCGATGTAGCGAGCCATCTCACCGATCCTCCCCCGCAACCCGACGCCTGCGAGCTGATCTCATTGTTCCGTCTCTGCGGTGGCTGTCCTCGCGGGCTACGTGTGCCCTTGTTTGTCTGGCACTCCGTTGCAGTGGTGGACAAGCACAAATAATAATTCTAGATTTGAATCTTTCGTGACTGCAAGGATTCATACTCTTAGTTCTTTCGGTAAAGTCACGAAACGTCGTGATTTTTTCTTTTTTATTGTTTTATTTTTATTAATTTTAATTTCATTTTTTACCTACGTGACTTTACCGAAAGAACTAAGAGTACAAATAATAATAATAGGCGACGTGATATGCACAAGCCCACTCACTTTTCTTAACATTCAAAATTATGTCTTTAATCTGCGTATGTTCTATAATCCATTAGAGATTAGGTGTACGGCTTGTCAAAACATAAACATCTCAGCAGGTGCCATTTCTCACTCAATATATACAACATTGCGCTTATGCATCATCAATTCGTCAATGTATTGTTGATTCTTAATCTCACAATACAAGCATCATATCAACTCGTGTGCGTCATGTTGTCATGGATTCAGATGCGCCTGTGTAGTCAAGAGTGGCCGCTGCATTCACCTATATTCATAAAAACAAGAAGAATCTATCCTTAATCTAATCGTGATTCTGAATGTTGACCATTAATCGAATTGCTAGCGCGGTGGATGGGGAATTGTTCCACCTAATATTACATTTATTTGTTCAATGAAGCGCATCAGGGCGCCTTTAATACTTGGCAAATGAGAGCCCGTTGAGATTCATTCTCGGGTGATCTGTCTGCTGAGATGATCCCTTTTAACAAGATGAATGTGGAGTGCCTAATTAAGTGAAGACACTTATTATAATTACATAAATTAGCTGTGGATAATTAAACATTTCTGGGAGTTTGGGCTGCAACCCGGCACAATGGCCTACACTTGCCAAGGATGTCACAGGTCAGAGGATTATGAGGCATGGAGTGTGAATATTACCGGATAAGGATTTAGGACAGGGTGACAGAATTACAAAAGGGGCTCGCGAGTGGGTTAAGGTGGGGGGGTTGTACAAGGGATACGGTTATGCTAATAACGGTTAGCTATTTAACAATACGATTCCATCTATTTGTCGACCAAAAATATTACCGAGTCTCAAGATCCCTTTTTTCAAGAGGGTCCTGATTTTGGATGTCAGGGCAATTGCTTTGAATTGAGTTTTTTGTATGGTCGGAGGGAAATTGGCGTATGCGGAGAGAAGAAAAATCGCACCTTGCGTCGGAGGGGATAATACTCAACGCTCCGTATAACAATATTGCTATATCGTGCTGGTGCATATACGCGGACAGAAACTAAACCGACTCGTCAACAACACTGCACTGAAGAGAAAGAAAAGAATCGGTGACTATTTGAGCAATGGATCTTCTTCACTGCTACGAAGAAGGGCCAATCCCATAAACACCACTCATCATGTATACTTGATTTGACGTTTTCGTGACTGCAGGAATCCATACTCTTTGGTTATTTCGATAAAGTCACGTAGGTATAAATGTTTTAATAATAAAATACGACGTTTCGATCGCAACCCAAGCAGTTTAACACGTAGGCTTTCGCGACCAATGTTATTCATAATCAACGTTTTTGGGTTTAGATCGCGTTTATTTATAAATGTGTCGTAACCCTCCACCACCCGACACGGCCAATCAGTAAAAATGTGTCACGTTGACAAAGACAAATAGTTCACTGCTTTAGCCCACCGGTGTGTTGAAGCCACAATATTTACAATTTGAGTACGACGTTTAGCTGGTAATTGCAACCAGCATCATTGGGCAATCGTCATCAGGTAGAAAGATACAGCCGTATAACTGCTCAACAAGCTGAACAAGCAGTTCTACGGCTGTATCTTTCTACCTGATGACGATTGCTTGTGTTGCGATCGAAACGTCGTCATTTATTATTTAAAAAATTATACCGACGTGACTTTACCGAAAGAACCAAAGAGTATTATGGATACTGTTTATATATATGTGGCGAGTCCGTGCGTAGCAGGTTTTTTGTTTTTACACGCGTTGTCGCGACAACAGGGTTGTTATATTTGGGGGGAATACTTTTCGAAGAACGCGGAACGCGCGACATCATAAGGCGGTTTCTGAGCGGTCGGTGACAAACGACTCTCTTGAGTCGCGAGGCTGAGAGTGGCACAGCGATCCAGTCCACGGAATCAAAGAGTGCGCGTCGGCGTATCGTCATCTCGGTTCTGCGATCCGCCGTGGGACGACTGCAGGCCGAGTTAACAGTGCACACGCGGTTCAGTAACTCGGTAAATCCCTTGCTTGACGCGGCACTTTTGAGGCACGCGTTTACCGCGATCAACGAGGGCTTAACGAAACATTGTCGTGACTGCCGAGTCTGGACCAGATGGGTTAGCGCACCGATTTTCCGTGCTGCCATCTGCTGGCCACCCCGTAGCACAGCGGGGTTGCGAGTGCCGTGCGTCGTGCGTGATGGCACCAAAAAACACCCTTGCCCGATGAAGCATTCAATCACCGGGGCGATATTCTCCGCCGTTGTATTGCCGCTCGAGTTCCTTGAGCGTTGGAGATATTTCGCGCGCAGGAGGTGGGTGGTTCATCCTCTTTGGCTTTTTCGGTAAAGTCACGTAGGTGAAAACAAAATAAATAATGTATTTTTATTTTATTTTGCTTTCACCTACGTGACTTTACCGAAAAAAGCCTACAGAGTATGGATCCTTGCAGTCACGAAAACTTCAAATCTAGGAAGTGGTTCGTTCGGCATTGCCACGCGTGGTGCGGTTCGCGCGTCCGTCCGGGCCATCGTGGAAAGAGTAGGCCAAAGTATCCTCGACGGGCTCTCGAGAGCTCCTCGTGGCCGAGGCCGTTCCAGCAGATGGTGTGGAGCGAGCCAGAGGCATTGCAGGGCCTTGCGCCTCCGACGTTTCACGCGCCCTGGGATTCCTCGGCCAGGAATCGCAGGGCGCGCGCGGTTCGGCGAGCAACGTCGCCACAGCGAGTGGGGCCCGGCTGCTTTACGGAGCGCGCGGAGGCAAAAGCGTTGCTCGTTTGCTCCACACCCGCTCCCACGAAACAAAGCGAGTAACAAACCCCCGGACACGCGCGAATGATGACTGAACCGAACGAGATGAGCAGACGAAACACAGAGAGAGAGAGAAAGAAAAAAAATATACCACATCGCTAAGATATAATTCATAAATCAGCAATCGAAGAGGAGCAAACGGGTTTTTTTTTGCCGTTCGCATAATAAAGGCAATAAGGAGCGCGGGGAGGAATAAAAGGCTGGCGCGGTTAGTTAATGTGACTGACGGGGCGGCTTTACAGAGCAGCGTGACGAGGGAGATTCTCTCTCGCACGGCGCCCTCAAATGCGAAAGCATCTCATTTAGTGTAGCGCTGTAGCGACCTGATTGGCGAGTGTTATTTTGAGGTTGGCGGTTTAAGGCGCGCCGTGTATAAATGAGAGGGGCTGGTAATTTCCCCCGCACGCCCATCAGCTCTGACAGCTCCTGACAGGCGCCTCTGTGGACGCGGCTTCCTCGAGCCCGGGCAGACAACAACGAGGGGCGTCCAAACGCCTCGGCAATCAGACGAGGCGGGCGGGTGACTGCACGAGCAGCGGCGAGGGGAGGAGGATGAGGATGTGTGGGGGGGGAGATTGTGTGGGGTGCGGGTGGGGTGGCTGCTCGTGGTGGTGTGGGAAAAAGACTGGACGACAATTGCAAGAGGCTAATGAACAATATCAGAAACTGCGTATTACCCTAAAGTGCATGTGGCCTTGTAAATTAGTTTCGCATCTATATTCAAAACGAGCAGAATGTACCGGGGGTTTTGTACCTGTGGATGACAATAATAGGGCTGCGGATATTTGCATAAGATTGAATTCTGGTGTTTGGTGAATAATTATACCAAGCTGTGGATTTTTTTCTTTTATATGAATATGAAATGTTCAAGGCAAAGTCACAGGATGTATCTTGTCAATGTCGTTTATTATTTTTGTTGTTACATTTGGTTATGATTTAAAGTGACGAAACAAACATGGTAAATAGTGTGAGTTTTAAACCACGCGAAAGATGGAAACTCGTATATTGAACCAACGATAAACAAAACCCATTGTTGATTTAACCACGTTAACAAACTTGTATATACGATGTTGATCAACTTACCCCGTGCAGATTCAACATATATGCGAATTGCTACATAAAAGTCCCCAGCTTTTGATTTGTCTCAGAGGTCTAATTGCAAAGCTTAGCTATATTACCAGAATAATCACAGGCAATGGTTAACAAACAAATTGCTCACCTACTTAACGGCACAAATACGTGGGAATTATCGAAAGGTGAACCGATGTGATTAACCAACATGTCACAAAATGAATAGGATACCAAAGAAAAAAATATGTGGAATATAAGTGGAAATTAATAATTGTGTAAATGTTTACTTATAAATTTGTGACTGCAGGAATTTATATTATTGGTTCTTTCGGTAAAGTCACAGACAGAAAATAAAAAAAATGTATTTTAATTGAAGACAGAAGCTTGTGTTGCCTCCGAAACGTCGTGATTTAATTTAGTTGTTTTTTAATTACATTTTTTACCTACGTGACTTTACCGAAAAAAACAAAGAGTATGAATCCTTGCAGTCACGAAAACTTCAAATCTAGAATTATTTTAATTGTATTTTCTATTTTATATTAATCATTGTATGTTTCTCGCCGTGACAATATGGATCTTCAAAATGGTCACCGACTCAAGAGACTGGAACAAAATTCTTAAGAACGCACAAAACAAGCATGGAGAGGTTTGCACACTTCGAAATAAACTCTGAAAAGGAGAACACCTTAAAGGAGAACACCTTAAAGGTGAACACCTCGATCATAGAACATGCACAGGAAATGAACATCACATTTGAAAGGAAGCTAAGCGGGCTTGGACAGGACACACAGCTGACGGCGTGACAATGTCCAATGATCAAGGAAGGCGGCAGAGCGGCAGTCAAACCGAACAACGCGCTCCAAGCGCACGTCCACCGTGGACATGAAGTGGTGAGATTGGCTCTTGCGCAGGAAGCTTTATGGATAATTGAATCGCAACCGCGATGGTGACGATTTGGGCAGGCGTTCATTGAGCTGTGGGATGACTGATAACGCCGATAATGCCGCACGGAAGCATTTCCCCGTTCACGTGCAGGAAGTGCGAAAGCATTTTCATAGTTTTTGTTGCGCATGATATAGTATTATTTGAGAAATGTACAGATTAGTTTTATGATCCGTAGTAATTCTATATTTCATTTGGAAAGCTGTTAACAATATAGGAAACATACCTGTGATTGTAGGAAAATATTTGTGTACGTGTTTATTGGTTGTCGTATATTCCGAGCAAAAAAATTACTTGGCTAGTTTCTCAGCACAAGATAAAATGTGCGGCTAAGGCATCGCTGACTACGCCCGTCGGTTGGTGATGTCTACTTTTTAACAACTCTCAAGTTGGTGACATTGGAAGTGTCTGTGACACTTCGGCTGTGTGTGTACATATACGTGTGGCTGTGCAAAGGCTGTGGAAATCTTATGCAGGTTCAATGCCAAGGTGGCCTCGTTAAAACCACTCCGTATCATCAGGCACGCCTACATAAGCCAGATATTCTATGGCAGAGCAGAGACCTATTTAGGGGTTATTATAGGAATATCTAAAAAGGAAAAACTCATTCAGAATATGGGCTAATGGATTCGTAAGACGTAGAGAGGTCAGAGACTATGTCTGAAATTGCTCCATAGCTCTTAAAATATGGTATCATCTGGGTGCACACGCCCGCCATCCAAGTGGCTCTGGACGTGCTCCTCAAACTTCTGCTGATCCATGTCTGGTGGATACTGGTTCTTGCACAAGGGGCACTCCTTCCAGTGGCTCTGCACGTGCTCTTCAAAGTCCCCCTGGTTGTAGTCTGGTGGGAAGTTGATTTCGCAGATAGGACAACGCTTTCTCATCCTGCACACCAGCGCACACATACACACACGAGGCCACAGCAGGGCACAGGTGAGAACGCAAAAGAATTGGCAATATTTGTCCAAGTGCAGAGCTTTTTTTCGACTCATTGTTGGATGGCATCCCCTCGTGCGTTGCGAATTATGGAGGGGGGGGTTGTTTTAATCATACCTTTACCGAGCATGTTAGTGTGGACTGGTGAAGACAGGGAGAATGTGGGAGCACAGAAGTACAGTTCCACAATGTATTTTGCCAGACTGCGCACCACATGACCCTCGCCAGCCTGAGATGCATGGTGGAGGTCGCCCATCCAAGCACTATCGATGCTCAACCCGAGTTAGTTTCCGAGATCTGATGGCATCGTGTGCATCCTCCACGACTTTGTCAAAGACAATATATTTTGCATGACAATTACACAACTGTATACATTCATTGTCACAGAAAAAACACAATGTGACTGCACTTGGGGTGGTGTAACAGTATAGATGTCCATAATCTCTGCCCTGTTCATCTGCTCGAAAGGGTCATTGCAATAAACGTCAGCCACCTATATATATTTTTTAACATTGTGTAAATGAAGACTGATGATTAACATCATTAGACATTACCTAAAAGTACACTTCATCATGTAATTAATTGTCTATAAAACTGGATGATCACAAAATAACATGTTTGGTCGATTCCTAAATGACTGGTTCAGTGTGAACAGTTTTATTACAATTATATCTGTCATTACTCTTTTATACCCAGGAAAGCCTCAGAATTCAAATACTCCGTTTTCCAGTGGGGGGGGGTCCTGCAGTATTGGGATGTTTGGCCAACACATTAAAAAAATTGCCATGGGAGGAAACCGGAGAACCCATGCAGAACGGTGAGAGAACATACTAAATCCATCAAGGCTTTATAGACACTGTCCTGTAACCGGATGTTACAATACTTCTGTGTATAAGTAATTTTTTAAAAATCACCACTTACGTTTCGAATGAAAGGGGTTCCGGCTCCTGCTGTAGTTGATTTCCGTCAACATTCTGAAGGGTGCCACACAGACGAACATTTAAAGCCCAGCTTATGCAACACCTCAATAAAGAATTGTGATTCCCAGAAGTGATGCACACGTAAAGTCGTTCATTATTATGGCAACTCAATATATGGAATTTCGCAATCACGTTACTTACAAATTAGAGAACTAATTCCATATACGATACGTTAAAATAAACATTTACGGAATTTTTTATCTTTACATATATATTTTTTAGGGGGGGGGGTACACAATCCATTTGTCCTCCAGGTGGTTTTCAAGGAATGCTTTTCGGGCGATACCACAGACTTCGTGCCACAGCCCAAGCAAGCTTAGCTTAATTTGGTTCGGGCCTTTGCGTTGACCACACCTGGTAGGGTACTGTGCAGGGAATCGCCCGTTTTCAATGTAGTTGCTTCGGTAAAAAGTAAGTCAACATGTCTGGAAAGAGGCCACTTGAGTGCCAGTGATAGTAATGGCACTCAATGTGATCACCACGGTTTATAATAAGTACTGTACAGTTTTTTTCATTTCGAGACTTATTTTGGGTATTATTAGTATAATTTCATCATGAGTTTATTGATTTTTACATAAAATGTGCTTACAAAAGGTTTGCTGCATTCTGACGTGCGATTTTATTATGTCTTGTGGCCGATTTTTTTTCCATATCCTAACGCATTTACAATTATTTATCTGGAAGCCAATGGGAAAATAGTGTTCGATAAACGGAATTTAGCTTTAGGGACACCTTTTCAGGAATGTATCCATTCCGCATATTGAGAGATGATGCCCGTACTGTATCGAATATAACATTTGCATGCAGCACACAATTCTACCGAAATTACCACCACCGAAACAAAACACTGCACGGTCTTATGAAATAAAATAATGTCGACAAAGCAAAAAGACCAGAACAATTCTTTGTAAGCATTTTACATCAACGTAACTGCAACAGATCGAGAAATAGCTTCTAATTTATAAATGCTATCCATAATGCAAAAGAGACAGGTAATAATTAAACCACTTTGTCACAAGGAAGTTGCCGTTTGCAGTACACGGTGTTTTCTCTAACAGAGTTCATGCGCAGAGAGGTGCCCCGATGGGAGACAATTACTCTCGCACTGAAAGCTAATTAAAGGCTGAATGTGTCCCTCGGGAGTCTTTCACGGCTGCAAGCTCGCTCCCAGAATGGGTGCTGCCTACCATTTCACATTACCCACAAACAGCTTCTGTTTATTTTTTGTTGTTTGACACATAGTGAGGATAAAAACCATCAGGGTGGTTGATAGCCTGTATGATCCAAAATCCCATCTTCTCTGCCACAAAAACAGCAATCTCGGATATCAATCTCTGCAATGCGGATCGAAGAGGCTGTGCCATTCCTTGGGCCATGATGGATCTTTTATCCTTTAGCCTTGTAATCAGAGCGCTCATCGCTTCTGAAGATCGCACCCTCCCTGGATAAGAGTCTTGCTGTTGATCTTTCACTTACGGGAGGACACTTAGGCAAGAAAGTAATCTGTCACGAGAGCCTAAACGGCACGCCAGGGATCACTTTACTTCCAGATGAACTGCTCTTCACTGCCGCTCACCAAAACTTGATTCCCGTAATAGGGAATTGAGCAGGGTTTGCAGCAGGGGTCTGTGGAAATGTTCTTTCAGCCAATGTGCAGTCAAGGAGGCTGTCTCAGTGATAATGCCTACTGAATCGAATTCTTAATAGCTAAACTGACAAGCTGGCCCACGATGGAAAAAAAAGCTCACGTGACACCGTAAAGACAAACAGTGGTAGGCAGGACAATATAAGACGGATGATGGCTTCAGTGCAACACTGCGAGGTCGGGGAAACATTTTCAAAATCACTTTCGCGGGTCGCGATGTTTTTTTGTGTGTGTTGCGAACCGTCGTATTACAGACGCCACAAGCACCCAATTACCGGCGCCATCTCCAAGCTCGTTTACCTCCAAACGCAATTCAACACGTTGCATAAAATATCAACCTAGTTTAGATTTTGCAACCGGGTTTTTGCTATTAACGATATCACCATCCGTTCGGTTAAACGCGGCTAGCGAGCAGCCCCTAATAGAAAAAATAAATTTCAACAAAGCATCAGATGCAAAATTCTGTAGGAAATACATTTCAAAGCCAATCATAAAATCCTCACCGCTGGGGGGGGGGGGGGGGGGGAAGGCTCTTATGACCTGCGGAAAGCACAGAAGGCCTAACCAGCCTGAGACACGGGGAGGTTATCGCTGTATTGATGAAGGCTGGAGAGGGGGCCTCCAGCTGACAGGTTCAGCGTCAGTCTCTCTCCTGCCGCGTGACAGAGGCCAGTGGACCATGGCCGGTGCTGTCAGCGGCCCAGGCTGGATGCTCCCTCCCCTCTAAACGACCGCTGATTGACCGTAACGAGGCAGCGGGCTGACATCGGCTGAGGAGACAGCCATCACTCATGCCGATTTGTCTGCAAACCCTCTCCGCCCCCCCCCCCCAAAGCATAACCCCCCCTTCTCCATCGCCCTACCACCTAGGTCACCGACGCCCAACGCGGGCTGTCATCTGACCACTCTTCGTTCTCCACCCCCCCCCCCACCCCGGCACAAATCATACGCGCACACATTTGAGCGCATTTCTCTTCTCGTGCCACTTAAGAACTGCGGATGCAGCTACAGAGAAAAAGAGGCGAGACGTTCTGGGGTTGGGTGGCTCGGAAAATCTCAATTCGGTAGTAAACCATCAAACGGGCCAATTAAACGTAGATGATTTGGAGCGGGTGATGGCCAGCCATTCTGTTTGAAAGCGTGGCGTTGGACTGCCAATGCCGCACTCTAAACCGCCACAACCAACAAAGTGTTGGCTTGAAAGGGGCGGGGGGACACAGGCCAAGGGCAAACAAATAGCTATCAAAAACACGATTGCGAAGAGAGCTTCGGTACAATACCTGCAAAATGCTTGTAGCTGACATCCTCATTTTTGTAATTTGTAATTGTAATTTGTAATTTTTTTGCAAATGAGCCACATGAGAAATATCACAAGCAGATGGCGAATGAAGAAATAAATAGCGCCCTTTCTTCTTTTAATCAAGGATCACTGTCAGCACATCCCTGCAAATGATGCTCAGCTGGATCTGTTTTCAACAGCTGTTATGTGCCAGCACGCTATTTATATATGCTGTGCAGATGCAGATGAGACCATTACATCTGATATTGTTTGTTGCGATTACATCACAGTATGCAAACATGCAAGGCACTTAACTAGCAACAATTATTTTATGAGGGATGCATTATTTTGGGGGTTTAAGTAGTCGAATTGGCCGATGGCAAGTATTGCCTACAAATTAAAAAAAATCTGAAAAAAAATAACCAATTTAAAGCAGCTTAACTGTGTCCAATGGCAAAACTTTATAATGTATGCACCACGGTATCGGCAGCGGTTCAATTAATGCCTCCTAACTAATAGCGTTACTCATCTGTTAAACATAGCAGAATTCTACAAGAGCGCAGAGGGTAATAAATGACACCAATACGCGTATTCCTAATAGCATATCACACATTAAAATGCTGGACGTAAAATAGCCCTGGAGGATATATCGGAGGATTAACACACTCTGCAATAAACCGACCTTTATCTTTATTGACAAGCGTGCTGCATGTGGATTAATCAGAAATGCATTACAGAGAGTCAATGTGGCAACCCCTTTAGAGGATTTAAAGTGCCGTTTCTTGCTGTGCGGCTCTCCCCTAATCCGCGCAATCCCCACCTAACGGCAGACAAATAACGAGGCATGGGCCCTGTCCGAAGGGACGTCAATAAACAACTTATTAGCGCAAGAGAGAGCTGGCAGCCCAATTACTGAGCGAGCGGGGTTGGGCAGGAAGCGGCAAGGGATGCTCCATTCCCTTATCCTACAGCCGGGGCAGAGGCCACGCAGTTCAAGCCAGCCCCTCCATCAAATAAAAAATATGATATTCATCAAACAAGGCCTGCCCCCCACTACAGCAAAGCGCTCCGGGGTAAGACGCCCGTGTAAAAAAAAAAAGCGCGCTATTAGCATATTGCCTAACGGAGTATGACCACGAACGTAACTTACATTTTTCTGCGATAATTCAGCGACGGGCGTCCCTTCCAAAATAACAATTGTGCGCAAAATATAGAGTGCGTGCTAAATTAATGTGCTATTTGTAAAAAAAAAAATAGGAGGGGAAAAAACAACAAGTCCCAAAACACTGAATGTGGCGGCGAACCATTTTTTTTTGCTTGAGCAAGACAAAATGAAAATAGCATATTTCCAATTTGTTACATATAAATAGCCTAAACGTGAAGCCTGTTTGGCGAAATTACGATAAAATGAAGCGCGCGCGGTATTTCGTTACATTGTTATTTTAAGCGAGCATAAGATGCCTGAAATGAATGTGCTCTCCGAGCCTCCCAGAACTGGTTGAATTGCAAATGTGTTCTCCTAAGTTCCTAAGTGGCAGGGCCTGGTTACGCTGAGCGCCTTTTTAACAAACAGGATTACGGGAGGCGGCCGCGCGCGGGGTGAATGAGCACTATGCTAGCGGCAGGCTGCAGCTCTTCCAGAGACTGTCAATACGTAAGAACGCCGAGCTCTCTTAACACTTCTACCCTGCTGACCGGCTTAGCCATAAGAAAAATATTTAAGAATCCTAAGCCGTTCAGATCCAACGTATGATATTTGAACAATTCTATAATCCTTCCAAATATTTGTTAGGTTTATATTTTCCTGACAAAAAGGTGTGCACATACCTAACGTTAAATGAACGCATGGCGAGTTTCAATCCGGCGCAGCAAATCGGCATAAACATCCGTTTCGGTTTGTGTTTTTTTTTAATGACTTGGGCAAAAGGGCAAAGTCGAAAAAATAGCAAAAGTGAGCGTGCGGAGTAGCGCATGCGGAAGGAGCCTTGGTCACACAAAGAGATTATCCTTCGCGAGTTTTCCGACACGTTACAGTGGGAAGGGAGACGCTCCGGGATGCTGTAAAAAGCGTTAATACGACGGCACTCTGGACTTGGCACGATGAGAGGGGATCCTAAAGCGAGGCATCAATTAGGGTCAAAGCGAGTCGTTTGTAACGCGGGAGGGCGACGGCTGCCCGCTGGAGGAAGCCGGGCCTCACGCCGACGCCGGGCTGGCAGCCTGCTCGCGCCAGCTGTTAGAGCCGCGGGTTCTGCCCATCGGCCCCGCGTGCCGATACGGTGAGGCCCCTGGCAAGGCGCGAAGTGGTAGCGGCGATAACGACGAAGACGACGACACTGACGAAAATTATCTTGCGCGCGCGCGCACGCGCGTACACACGAGAGATCGCATGGCACGTTTAAGCAGGACTGGACCACAAAACATGGACAATGTTTCTTTTCTTAGGCACAATTAAAGCAAAGTGAAATAAATTAAGCTGTAAACAGGGTAAACGTGTTAACACGACGGCACTTTCGACTTGGCACGATGAGATGGGGGATCCTATAACGAGACAACAATTATAGATAAATCAATCAAGGAATTAGTAAAATATGAAAAAGGAAACGCAAGTAGGGGTGAAAAATGGTTGCGGGACATGAAAACAGCGGACTCCCACTAATCCGGAGGTGTACACTCCAGATGGGGTCTATGATGTTTTTGTTGTTAAATTACAATGAAAGAGGGCGATGGCATCGTGATGTCAATCCACTCGCTCTATTCAACTGCGATCCATCCGCACATGTGCCACGTACAGCGGCAAGTTCTCACCACACTGTCACCACGCCGCACGTAAACGCCCTACTACAAGTAAACGTTTTCCACCAGAATTCATTTGCTCATCCACAATTGATCTGCTACAGATTAGTAGAAGTCTACTGTGCCAAATAAAAAAAAATTATAAATTAAAAAAGGCCAAATGATAAAATAATTTCCACAGCAGGCAAGCCGACTCGTGAGTATTTCGGAATGCTTTACCTGCTCATTACGGTAATCTCGACGGAATGGTTGATTCTTGACCACATGGTGTGGGTAGGGGCCTGTGCTGACCACGGGCTTGTGAAGCCATGGGTTGCATATCCCACAGTTGCCTAGCATGCCTGAGAAGACATAACACTTTACTGCTCGCGTCCCAGGCACACCGGACAGCCAACACAATGGCAAGCTCTCAGCTTGCAAACGCATTGGCGCAGAGGAAAACACAATGTCAAAATGCTCGTCCTTTGCAAATATTGCTGCACACCCATGTGCTGCTAGCTTGCGCTTACCGCCACTAGCGCCACCCTGCCCCGTGTCGCACTTCTCTTCCAGAAATGCAAACTTTTTCTGAACAAGGATAAAAACAATACATATCACGGACAAGATCACATGCTCGTAGCTGAAGCCCCTACGTTAATTGGAAGTAAAGACTTGGTGAAAGATTTTCTTTCTGAATATTAAATGTAATTCTGTCTGCTGTCAGAACGTGCAACAGATGTTGCCTTGTAGAGATATCCTGAGGCTTCGTGTCCCGGGCTGACCGACGAGAGTTTAAAAGTCCCGCTAATTGAATAAAATACTTTAAAATAACTGTGACAGCATTATGGCAACACTCCCATATTTTATTTTATCAATCCAGTCCATCACTAGGGTGCTATAGAATGATTTTCAAAAGAGTTTTGTTCTCACAATGGAAGTTAAACTCGGGCAGGACAGCTCATGACTTGCAGCCTGGTTTTAAATGGCGATGGAAAACATGGTTTTGTTCATGTTTTCAGTTGCATCTCCATTTTTAAATGTGTTAACAACACCTGATAGCAATACAGCAGACTCCCAATAATCAGAATCAATCGAGAGCAATATCCTTCTTGGATGAGCAAAAAAATCCCAGCCGACAAAAAAAAACAATCGACATTCAAAGGAAGGCTGCGTCAAGTGACATTTAAATGCTTGTAAACACGATGCGGAGCAAGCCAGCGGATGGCTCGCGACACGCTGCTGCACTTTGTACTTGCAAAACACTCGAGGGAGGAAAGTGTTGATGAGTTTGTCCACATATTTTATCGAATTATTAAATTATTTGACGGCTGGAAGAAAGCACCTAGCGTTGCAGATAGTGTACCCAGTGGCAGAGTGTGGTGGGCACGGGCTCCAGTTCAAGAGAAGAAATTGGGCCTACGTCTAAGTTATGCCACTGGGTCTCCCCAGAGCAAAGGACGCATTGTAATGTTTTTCATAGCAGGTGACAGTCAGTGTGCAGTGTGGTCAACAAACATGGTATTTTTATTCTCTCAACAGGCCATGGCATTTGCAAACCGATGAAGAGTCGATTCTTTGCCATCATTTTCTATTATTTCTCGTTTTATCAGTCTCATTTGTACATTTTTATCTTGCTCCATTAGCCAATGTAACATGATCATATCATTTGCTGATTATTTGCATAAAGAATCCATTCCCACGTGCACGATTTCAATGCGTGTATTGCGAGCGTAAGAATCGAATTTGACGAACGTACTAATCCATCGTTACAAGTCTCGTACCAATCTGTAGCAAGGTGAAATATCGTGACTGCCCATACAGCCGTCGCTAACGCTAGGTTTGTTTCAAGAGGATGGGGGAGGGGGGGAAGGAAAGTTACTTCACGCAAACGAGAACGCTTTCTGGATGACACACACTTGCAGATTAGTGGGAGTCGATTGAATTCACAGCGCACGCGACACAATGTGCATCCGGGCCCAGCGAAACGACGGCCAACGTTCCACGCGACGGGAATAAATACCGGCGACTCTTATTGACGTGGCAAATTCGCAGCACCGGCCCCGCGTCGCCAAAGACTGCAAGCTTCAGCAGAAACAAATTACTCTGTTATGATGCCAAGGTTACGAGCGACACAAATTGCAGGCGGCGTGCGTGCGGACCCAGCCGCCGCCAGAGTGTGACCCGTGACAGCTTCCTCCACGATGACAGGCCCACATCACTCGCAAGCAGCAAACTCTTACTTCTTTTCATCAATGTCTATCCCACTTGCCGGCCATCGTAAAAAAAAAAAACATTTTTAAGGTCACGCTGGATGTGCTGTAGTCTGAAGGTCAAAATGCGAGCCTAAGAAAATTGAAATCCTGGGAAGAGCCGTGCCCCAATACATCTTCGTTATACATTATGGATTTTTCTATTCTTTTTGACTGCCTCTGTTATCAAAGTCCTTCAAAGGTGCTCATTAAATGGATCCTGTAACCTCTATTACTGCAACAAGCAAAAAAGGCCCATAAACAAATTACCAGCACTCAAATTGCATGTGTGATTTTGTTATATTTTGGTCACGATTTACTTATAGCGGTTCAGCGTGTGATGTATCCATCTTTATTTCCACGTGGCCGACTCACTGTGTATTTATTGTCAGCGCAGGTTGCATGCTCGCCCAACTTCTTATTTTATTATAGATATCACAGCAGCAGCAGATTCCTAACCCACTTTCGAATACATTTTATTCTTAGATTTTCATATAAAAAACGCAATCTTCTTGATAACACTTTTGTACTAAATATGTTATTTAAAAATTGCTCTTTAAATAGTGTACGGGTTGAGCCAGAGGCCAGAGAAACTGAGGGCTATGCAATATTTTAGTCCAACCCTAACCCAGCAGCAGTGCCTCATCGCCACATCGCAACATGCCGTCATTCAGACATTGTGTATGATAAACTCTACTGGCCACATTTGAATGTACAACTTTTCTAATTCTACGGGTAGGTTCACTGCGGCAGCACCTTAGATTTGATGTAGAAGTTTGTTTTAATCTACATTAAATACCTGAACACCACCTACTATAGAGCAGCAACTAATTTGAGCCAAGGACCAATTTAGTATACCGACTATAATCGCCCAAGAATGTCTGTCCTTAAAGGTCGTGACGTCACTCCACATCGACCAGCCCCTCCTCATTAATATTCATGAGCAGGTGACATCCTCCAAATGGACCCCCCCTCATTAATAATCATGAACAGGTGACGTCACTCCACATCGAACAGCCCCCCTTTATTCATAATGATTAAGGTGACGTCCTCCAAATGGACACCCCCCCACCCCCATTCATAAAAATTAGCTACTGATGGCACTCCATGGTGAGGCGCCTCCTCCCCCCTCCCCGGCGTCAACTTACAACCCTCACTACAAAGGCAGAACCCTCACGTCACGCAATCTCCGTAACGCTATTGAGACATCAAAGTAAAAAGGACGTCATGATGAACAAGGGATTATAATCTTAAAATAAAATAGGTCTGTGTCACCGAGCCCTTACAACTTGCACACGCATCAATGCAATATCACGTCGCCATCTGCTTTTCGCTTGCATGTTTCAGATTTACTGCAATACACCCGTCCTTGGACGGACAAAAGGCTCGTTAAACTATCTTCTTGAGAACTGCTTTTTAATATTTAGTTTGTTGTTATTTCCCCGCATCTCCGATTAGCAGTTGGTTACGTACGGTGCGAAAGAAGTTCCGTCTACATACATACAACACCTACCGGGGTTGTCATAACAATAAATAAGAATCGTTTGTGTGCATCTAATACGTTTATCATGAACGTCATTTATATTTTAAAGGCACAATGCCATGACCGTTGCTCCGCATCTCCCTTACCAGATACTCTTCTCTTACAAGCTTCAAGTCTGTGACTGTGGCCACCAGCTCATCGATTTTCCCATCTCTCTCGTGCAGCTGCATCTGTGACATTTCACAAGAAAACAAAGCCTCTTGAATATGCCACACACACCTTTAGTTTACACTGCAAGTGAGCAGGGGATGTTTACATCAATGGATTCTTACTGTTATGATATGTGTATTGAATCCTGTGCACAATAAGAACTACCGAGGGTTTATTTTTTACCGTGCAATGCATGTAATCGCTTCGCAGAAATGCTGAGGCTGCTATGAATTCTACGTGCACCACTGACAAAAAGAATTGATTCGTGACCCCCAAATCATGACCCCGAATCAAGAAAATTCATTGCATCGTGGCTGGTGGGAATTGTTACATCCATACTAACAAGGTGGGGTTGCTTTCCATTTATTAGGGACTTGAACTTACAAACGAATCAAAAATGTTTCGTTGGGTGCAGTCTGAACCGATAATCCACATTGTGAACATTGCGTGAAAAAAAAAAATCACATGTTATTATTAACACCACTCTGCTTACATTCTTGTGTGTGTCCTTGTACATTTACACATTGTGAAAATGGTGTTTAAAGTTACCAGTAGTTGCTATTAACATTAGTATGTGCACATTACATTGCAGAATGACTGCTTCAAACGATGCATCCTGAAATATTAGTCAATAACATGAAGATCATATTCATATTCTATAATTTGTGGCAGCAACAAAGATCAAAACTATACAAAAGGGCAATGTGGGGATTCTCAAGTTTAAATGTTTTCGTATTTGTAATGCAAGCTGTTCGAAGATTAAAGGGGCAAACACTGCACATTATCCCGCTACATGTAGCTAGTGCAATTAAACTGTCATTTCGCTTTTAATTAAACTCTCTCCGAGCATGAAACATTTCAATCCAACAGCCAGCGGTGTCCATTAATCGCCGGCAAAGTGGAGATGTAATTCAATATGTATCATGGACATCTTATTTGAAGACCTTTTATATAACATGGCCATTTAAATAATTGCAGGGACAGCCAGAGGCCAGTGTAAGAATGTGGGTTATGCAATTGTTAAATTCTGAGCTCATGCATTATAGCAGAGCACTCTGCTGCTACACAAATCATGTGGTATCCCAGCAGCAGTGCCTCTTGCCGCATATCAGAATAGGACGTCGTTAAGAAACTTTGGCATGTTAAACACTACCCGGCCACACTTTAACATTGTGTTCAGTAAATTGCCCCTTTTCCCATACCTCCAATGAGCAGTTGGCTACGTACGGTGCGAAATAAGTTATGCATATGTTAATGTACCGTGTGGCAACATCGAAAGCTGCTTTCGACGTATAAGTTGTTCACATTCAGTAAATATCTCAACATATTGTAAACACACATTTTGTAATTGGTTCCACCAACATCTTTCAGGGATATCACTACAATAACATAAGTGAGAATCACGTGTATAAATCACTGTTCATCGTGGAGATAATGTGTAATGTAAAGTTAAGTGCCATCCTCATTGCTCAGCATAGCCCTTACCTTATGCGCATCTATTTCATCCGTTAATTCTTTAAGTGTATTTTGCAGCTCGTAGATTGCAAAATCTTTCTCCTGCTGCTGCCTCTGTGTGCAACATCGCACAAGAAAAAAAAATGCACCTTGTACACACACCTGACGTTGTTGTCAATAATGGTCAGGAACATAAACATCAATCAATTTAAAATGATTTGTTACGCTCAAGACATCCACAGTGAATAATCGTGCATCCAATAACTACTTTCTCTTCCGTTACCGTTTGTTGCATACAGTTACTTGCAGAAAGCATGAAGCCATTATGGATTCCATTGCACCACAATGACAATAAAGAATTGATCTGTGGATCGAATCGTGACCCTCAAATCGTGACCTCCAAAGCATGCAAATTCATTGCGTCATGGATGGTGGGAAGTGTTAAATCCATACCAGGCGAGATGTAGTGGTGACTTAAAATGTTTTTGGTTAGTTATTAAATGTAACTGCGTGCAGTCTGTGCACTGAGTGGATTTCAAAATGACACCATTATCATTATTGATATAACTGTGTCTTGAGATGCAGTGCATTGTCAAATTAATGCATACGAATTCCGTTACAATTTAGCTGTCACGGTAAATGTATACTTTGTTATGAAAATTGTTGAACATTTAGTGTATGCAAAGCACATGGCAAACTGACTAGCTGAATTGATGTATCCTGATATGTCAATTAACACAAAGATCATGTTCATATTCTAAGATTCATGGAAATTTCATCAACAAGATTAAAACTGCATGAAGGGGTGAAGCGTATATTCTCAAGTTTAAATGTTTTGAATGTTTAATGCATGCTGTTCAAAGATTAAAGGGCAAAGACTGCACATTATCAGCCACATGTAGCTTATGCAATTAAACTGCCATTTCCCTTTTAATTAAACTCTCTGAGCATGAAACATTTCAATCCAACAGCCAGCGGTGTCCATTAATAGCCGGCAAAGTGAGTACGAGGTTTGTGTTGATCGGGGATTAATGAATAGACGCCGAGGGTGCAATGCAGACGGTAACGCAGCTGCACACCACGGATTTACCCTGGAGTAGCGCCCCTGGGGTGCGCCGAGGCTCGGGCACATTTCATAGCACGGGGCCAGCCAGCCATCTGCTTCGCTGTGATACACAGCACAAGGGGTCCCCCCCCTCCGCAGCTCACACCCGGGCCCCAGGCCTCCTTAACGCTACCCCAGCTGTGCGCGGGTCTGTTTATCCACGCGCATGTTTTGCGCGAGTGTTAACCAACGAGGGAAGCGCTTGTCGCATCAAGATTCACCCCCTCCTTGCAATTTGAAAAATTGTCACAATCTAGGGTCACGATTCGAGAGGAGGATTGTTGTACCGCCAAACTTGTGATGTTTCTCAGTTTTTTCATATGATTTGTACCGTTTGGTTGGCTCCATGAGCATGAATGAGACGGCGTATAAATTGTATTTGCATAAACAGAAACCAATTGATTCTTACACGTTCAATTTAATGCACGCAACGTGAGCTTAAGAAACTATTTGAATTGACTATTCGGTGCATCGTTACATTGATGCCAATAAGTGTTTTTCTTACTTTTAGATATCAGTACATTCAATTGTGACATGTAAAGAACCACTGTGCGATGGTGCGATTATATTGCAAAAATACCCACCCCCATTTGTTGAATGACTAAATTCATATTCCAGAAATATATTTTTGGGGGGGGGGTACTGGAAATCCTACTCTTAAGCTTAAAGACATTCACCCGGGCAAAAACACTTCAGAGCAATAGCATACAGTCGCATTGTAAATATATTTAAGATTTCAAAACTGTAATTTGCAAATCTTTACTCCTTCCCAACCCCCACCCCTCGAGTATATTTCAAAAAAAGCTTTCTCACATTATAACGAGTGTGGTACGATCAAAGTTTAATGCTGCAACGGCAGTGGTCTCGGGATTCCAATCCGCGCACACAATGCAGCGAGGCAAAAACGTCAGCGGCAGATATTGATTGATTGGCTCACATTTGGGCTTCGCTGAAATGGAAGGCCACTTGCCAGAGGCGCGCGCTAAACCGCGGAGAAATTCATGCTGTACTCAGCAAGAGATTACGCAGCATGCTGCTGGCATCTGCCAGTGAACCACCATGAAAATGGCAAACAAATTGAAACACAAAATCTAATTATTCACCAGCGGGATGGCAAAGCAGTTAGGAAGTTTCTCGCAGCACACCAAAAACACATGCGCCAGATTGTATGCGGGCTGGTTTGCAAGCAGGGAGGCAATATCCTCCACGTGAAGTTTTTGTGGCAAAACACTGCAACGTTGTAAAGTTGGAAAGGTTTCTGGAGTGGTGCACCATTCAGCTCTCACGCTACATTGTGGGAAATACCGAAATTTCTTGTTTGGTTTGCTGCTGCTCATTGAAGAACGTCTCCATCCGCATCACCTTCTCTTCCAGAAGCTGCTTGTCCTCCTTCTCGTGCTGCGTGTTGATATCGCATGACAAGAATTAGGACGCACGTCGAACACAGCCTCCGATGTAGCTCACTCGCACCGTCCAACAAAAGTGCCCTCTCTAAAAGCATCGCTAGACTAACCCGGGCCCCCACTTAAGGAAAATCAAATAGGTTCGACGTGCGGTTGAAGCTACACGTGAACTGGTAAAACAAAATACGCAATTTACGATTGCCGCATTGTATCGGTGCTCTAACGGCACCGGTGAGCAATGCTTGGAACCCGCGCCGTGGGACAAGAACAAGTAAACAGACACACGCGTACATATGCTGCTTCTCTGCCGCAGGAGATAACTGCTAAAAATCGGCACCGCTCCAACGTTGTTTAGAAATTGTGTTTGTTTGTTTGTTTCTTTATTTAAGCATGTCAGCATTTCTCAAAGTCAACAGTGTGCCTAGTATAAAGTGCTCAGGTAATGAGTACGTAGAGATGGGATGTGCAGCCACTCGAGTGTAATGCACGCCTTACTTCCTCTAAAAGCTTGTTACTATGGCTGCTGTAAGCGCATGTCCTGCGATGCACGGCTGCTGGCATTCATGGTTCAAGTCTAGCGTGTCGCAAAGTTTTAGCGAGCGGGATTTACACTACCGTGAACTTTGTCAGCAGATCTTCCTTCTCCTTTTTAATCTTCTCCAGAGCCGACCAGACGTCTTTCAGCTCCAATGCCTTTGTTGAAAGCTGATCCTGAAAAAAAAAGTGACCATTATGGGCATACACTGTGAAAGCACCCAGAAAGTGGCAAGCCTACGAGAAGACATATAAACAGAGTAAAGTTAAAGGTAACACAGAATGCATTAAACATGAGAAATGGCACAAAGACAGCAGAAAAAAAACTGTAAATGAAAAAGGAAAATAAATGGAAGCATGCCTTTTTTGCAACACAAAAAAACAAGCCAAACAATAAAACAAAAACAAACAAGCGAGTTCAACTGCCAACAAAAGACAGAGCACTGTACGATGAAACTGAGAATATAACGGCCTGAATAGGATTGGTGACAGCAAAACAAAATCCAAATTGCACGTCGAATGACGATGCAGCGTACTGAGTGAAGATTAAAAAAACACAACATGCGAGAGGAGATTAGCGGCAAACCATTAGCTCTTCAAGCATTCAATTACGAGGCAGCATTCGTTTATGACGATGGCAGTAATGAAGCACTGTCAATGTGTCGTCTCCTACAAAAAAGTGACATGGGTGTCTTCCCTGCCAAATTACACAGGAATCTGTAGGTTCGCTCGCTTGTAACTAAAGGAAACTGTAGAGTCACTTGAGCACTGCGTTACCTGCATGTTGGCCTGCTCTCTAGCCAGCTTATCCGACAGCACTTCCGTGGCCCGCTTCTCCTCTTCAATGCTCCTCTGGAGCTTCTGCAGCTCCTCTTCCAGCCGCTCTCTGTTCTCCTTCTCTTTCTGAGCAACATCGCGAACGACAATCCGAGATCAAGTGTTCAGGTTCTTGTTTGTGTGTGTGTGTGTAGTTTTTGTTCACGTCACCTTTCTCTGAGAATGCAATTCCTAAAATGGGTTTGGCGACGCTCGGACAAATCTGCGCCAGCTGTTTCGTTAATTCACCCAATGAAACGGTGCAAGTGTCCTTTATGAAAATAAAATACATTTAAATTAGACGTAATATGTAATTATAGCAACCTGCTCTGAGAATTTGAGTAATGGTCTAACATTGGCCACTTTAACCCCCCCAAGCTGTTGTGTACGGCCAAAGGAGGCTGGGAAAAAAAAAGCTGTTTGTGGAGCCACCGCTGGTTAACTCGGCTATTTGTATCAATTACTGATGACAGCTGAAGGAATGGAAATTTAAGAGTGTGCCGCCAGAACTAACCAGCTGGTGTATGAGAAAGAATCGCTGCCAAATTTATGTGGGGATCAGCCGTGCGGGAAAACAAAAATATAAGTAATAACCTCACTTGCTAGGCAATGCAATTCCTATCTATACATCTATAAAAATGCATCACATTTAAAAGCAAATGCTTGCCAATTTTTTTCCCCGCATTCTTTCACAAAGCTAGAACAAGCTATTATTTTTATCTAAGCACTAACATTATTCTCCAGCGTACACACATTATGTCGTGTTGCATTTAATTACGTGCGAACAACGGCACAATTAATTACGGCTCAAGTTTTACGACAATTGTTATCTCAACAACAACAAAAAATACTTTGTGCAGCAAACGCACACTGGGAGGGATGGGCATGCAATCCTTACTTTGAACATTTCCTTATACTTCTTGCACTTATCCGTTTTTTCCGCCAGCTTCTCCATCGCCCGAGACGACAGCTCACCGCCCAGGTTCTCCTTCATCTCAGACGCAGCTGAGAGGGAAACGGGAGGGGGAGGGAATAGTGATGCGTGCAAGGCGGCCAAAAGAACACACATGAAATGAGTTTTATCTCTCTCCGCTCTCAACCGCCCCATCGTAGATTCTGCCGGCGGACGACAGAGACATAAGTTACGGCGATAACTTTTTACAGGATCAAGGGCACTGAAATGTTTTAAATGACGCGCTTGAGAATAATGTGTCTCGACTTACGAGGGGACTTCTGGGTTTCCATTGAAACGACTGCCGGCGCTTCCACCTGTTCATCCTGTCGCAACAAGGCAGTGAAGGGAGAATTTTTGCGTTAACGTTTCAGTTCAAGTGGCCACAATAAACCGCTTCGTTTTTTTCGAGTCGAGGAGGAAGAGCAGCACTTTCAAGTGAAAGGCATTAAAATCGATTAGTGCAAATGTGAAAGCAAAAAACAGTTCATGTGACCAAATGCACAGGACTGTGAACATGAAATGACATTTTGAGGTTGGGTGTAATCTGGAGCAGATTACACCCAACCTCAAAAATGTATTTTACTTTTTAGAAAACTTTTAGTCAAAACTGTTAAACAAAATTGGTCCCTCCTCTTATTTACCAAGGGCTAAAATGTAGGCTTTAACGACAAATATCTTTATCAATTTACATGAATGCTTATGCTCACTGTACATGCATCTAATGACACGTATAGGAAGTTATTATCGATTTTGTATTCCGTGTATGTAAAGGAGTTCATGTGATTCTCTGCCACTAGAGACCGCTATTGTCACCCTCATGAAAAATAAAAAATAAATGTGATTCTTGAACAAAATCGCCGCCCCAAATCGTGACCATTCATTGAAACATGGGGGGGAGGGGTAAGGGGGGTGGGCATGATGATTTAAAAAACAGCTCTCGATTTCACAAATGGAGCATGCACTGCCACCTCGAGCATCCCGGAACATACCCATTGCTGCTTCGCCTTGGTGAGCTCCTTCTGCAGCCTCATGCACTCCTTAAACTTCTCCTTGTAGTGCTCGGCTCCCATCTGCAGACGCAATTTCAGGTCTTCATTCTCCTTCCTGAGTTCGTCATAACCAGGCGAGTCTTCACGCAAGCCCTCAACGTTCTTGTTTTCCATCTGGAAAAGACGATGACTCGGCTTGGTCAATGAAGTCGCAGGTATGAGACCGGCTACTTCAGTGCAATGGACTAGAAAATGTTTGCGAAATTTCACAGTTTAATAATTTCCCCCCACTATTCCCCTCAAGTGAAAGCTTTCAAAATCAGATGTTTCATCACTTCACAGAATGATTCCCAACTATCAACTCAAAAATCTGAGGATGGAAAAGAGTATTTTTTTTTAATTACTTTTTTTACCTTACCACTGTCAATAAATTAAATAGACCATTATCAATATCATGGGTCCCTGGTTCCTTCCAGTCAAAATGAGCGCTCACTTGACCCTTGTTATTAAAAATAATAAATGATGGACCTATTGCCTCTTAAGGATGTCAACTGTGCATTAAAAAATAAACTTTAGCAATGGCAATTCCAAGACCGCTTGCACAGATCGAATAAGGTACGCCGAGACTTTTAAATGTTAGCAGGCTCACGTAGAGAGCAAGGAATGAAAATGTCCCGTGCGGATTGAATGTCAAAGCCAAGAACACGAGTTGGTATCATTGGGCACCTGAGTGACGAGGGTGCGAAGTTCCTCGCTGCTCGTGCGCTCTTGGTACAGAGAGGCCATCATTTTGTCCCGGGTACTGGTCGCGTCCAGAAGCTCCCCCTGGAGGAGCTTTAACTTCTGCTCGCTGTTGGCCAACTGATCTTCGGTGCGGCGCAGCAGCTCCCGTACCACACCCAGCTCCTTCTGGAGAAGGCGCAGAGCAAACGAGGAGAGTTTCTACCATTTATCATTGCAATGTGATACGCAGTGCAGTTTACATTAGGGATGCAACCATCCATGGACACAGATTGAGTCTAACGATCAAGATACCTGCGTCGAATCCTAAAACTAATAATTATTTTTAATTCTTACATGTCTTATCGATATCAGTCAATCTTTATCCACCAGTGGATGAAGCCCTCTCAGGACGCTGCCATTCCACATGGTTTGTCTTACGATGCTATAACCCATTACATTCCTGCGCATAAACTTCTCTGCTCCATCTCTGTGGTGGTTCCTCCTCTGAAGCGCATTTTCTGTTAATTTACTGCCGTTACTTCCAATGTGAGGAGACACTCATTATCAGTGGTTACTGTACCAGACGGGCGTACTCAGTAAATGTAGCTTCCCGAGAGAGCTAGTCGACCAGATGCCTGAGCACCGTACATTAGCAAATGTTGCCTTTGCATTGTAACCATCAATGAATCCACCTGCCCTCATTACCTGAAACCACAAAATTCCAAGAAAGAGCTTGCTTACCTTCACTAATTGGGAGCCGGAAGAGGCCGTAAGGTTGGCCGAGTGGATGAAAGCTCATCAAGCAGATTGCTGCACAGATCAAGTAGTGCCACGCTCAGCGTGGAGTTGTTGAAATCCGAGCACGCGCGTGGACTCACCTCCGGTTTAGATGACACGGCTCCTGCAGCCCCGCAGAGCGACCTCTCTCTGTGAGCCGCGCTTTGCTGCAGGCGGGAGATTTCCTCAGTCAACTCTGAGATCGCGTTGTTCTTTTCTCCGACCTCTGCCTGGGCGGCTTTCAGGTTTGTGTTGAGCTGCTTGTTTTCCAGGTCCGTCTCCTTGATGTGCGTCTGTGTACAGATGTTGGTCACAGTTTGGCATCCATGAGTATGAAACTGCTGTTGGGTCTTCTTTTTTCTTACTAAGACATTTCCATTTGGAACTGCCCTGAAAAATTACTTCACTAATCTACATCGGAAGATACTTCACGAGATGTCTTTATCCACACGAGAGAAATATCTTTGTATACCTTGCAAAAACATGCTGGTCGCATGTTCATAGTATTATTTTTCTGAGCTGGAATTAGATAGATCAAGTGAATTATCACGTTTAACAGGATGAAGACGATTTTGTTGTGTAATCATTATGACTGGATTAAGACCAACTCATTACACTTTTGAAACCATGGTGTAAGGGTGGGCTGAAACATAGCTTAGAACCTAGCATCTCGGTGGTGCTGGTTCATTAATCAGTGTTATTCAGACAGTGTTAGCCTCCTGAGCCACCCAACCACCCCTTGCACTTAAATGGCATTAAAAGCTTCTGCTCACTCAAAGACTTACCATAAAAAGATTTTTCTCCTCCCTCTCATTTTTAAGTTCGGTCTCTAGCTGTTGCTTTTCAGCAGTCAACTTCTTAATGCTGTCCTTGCACCTGCGCACGGACGGCAGCACAGAAAAGAAGTGTTCTTTAGATACCTGTGCATTTACAACAGAAGAAACGCATCAATCCTTAAACGAGATTGTCACATTTCTGGTGAGCACACGCTCGATCTATAAATCGGGTTTTGTGGCTTTTACAAACCCCTAGACATCAAATTTCAGCATCAAGACTCTGTACCAACATGAAAAATAAGCTTGCGAGGTCAATAAATACCCTAAGGGCAATCATGCACTTTGCTTCTCATAAACGTCGCTCACAAACCCACCCCCAAGGCAAATAGCAATTTGTAAATAGATCACCCAGGGACCTAAGAATCTTATCGGCAAAAGAGTTTCACAGCCATAAGGTGGGCAGTAGGCATGCGGCGATATCATCAGTTAAAATTGATTCTTAGGCTCATTATGCGTGCATCGAACTGCGCGTAAGAATCTAATTATCGACAATTTATTCAAATTATATGCGCATAATCAAAATGTTAACAAAGAAAGCTGAACGAGACGGTTAAAATCAGAATGATAAAGCCATTCGCTGAATCAAATGAACCAGATCTGCGATGCAACGATGTTCAGCTACTAAACGCAAAAGTCGATATGAACATATTGGAGGCCTCACCCATCCAGCTCCATCTCTTTGTCCAGCATCTTCTTGGCCAGGGTTTCCAGGTCTCCCTCCAGTTGCTGAACACGCACGGCAGACTCCTCCAGCTGACGTTTGTGCTGCACGAGCCCCGAGTCCAGAGCCTGCTTGCTCTGCTCGAGTTCCTGCATCACAAGCGTGACGAAAGCCACATCTCGCCGTTCAAACAATGATACGTCGCGGTATTCGTGACAAAAAGTAAGACGTGTGTTTGAGGCAAGTGTTTGGCCAATGTTCCTAGTTGTCATATTTTTCAGAATTTTTTTTATATCTTCATCGACAGTGGAGCAAGTTGTCAATTTTGACGAATTGTGAACATGGCCCACGATGTTCACAACTGCAGCAAGACCGTTATGATCATAGATTGACCAACTTGTGTCCTCTGCAAAGGTTGACTGTGGCCAAATAATCCAGAACGGAAAAGCGTCTTGATCTGGTGGTGAAGCCACAACGGAAACTTAGTCTTTCATTGCAAACCAGGCACAGCAAACGGCAGAAATGCTGCCAAGAAATAGTGGAAAACGCCGCGCCGATAAAAACGAACGTGTCTGAGCAATGAGCTCGAGCAATCGTTCCATATTTCAACCGGGTAATTTAACTGGTCTTTCAGGATTAATTTATATTTGTATTGCACGATCGATACACCTTTAAGGTGGCTAAATGGTCAATTTAAAAAGAAGAATAAAGCCAGGAATTTAATATCAACAGTATAACCCACTCCAGAGGGCAATGATTCAATGTGTAAACACAGTGCTCTGCTGAGGTACGACAGCTGAAAATAGAATTGGATTTCTAAACTGAAATGATGTCACCCAGCCCCCAGAGATGAAAAGGTCATTTTTTATTCCAATGCAAACCGTCAAACGTCCTCTGTCAAGCACTAAAAGAGAAATGGATTACTCACACGTGGCACACTGGTATGCCAGGCAAACTATACATGGCTGTGGCCTTTAATTAGGTTTATTTTGCCTCATTATCTTGTCAGCTACATGTAAGCAATGCACTTGAGATCCAGTATTGGCTGTTTATGCAGTGGCTATTTTTTTTGCACAGCAAGAACACTAGCCACGATGAAGGTTATTAACCCTGCAGTAAGGTAGTGTCTGCACACGCACACACCCATGCGCAGGGCTTAGTTTCTCTCTGAATATTTTCTGGGTCGCTGGCAAGACTGGAGTAGTCATGTGCCTAGCAGACAGTGAGAGACATACTGCATGTGGTGTGCAAAGAGCTTACTTTTTCAACGAATCTGGCTACGACTGGAGTAGACACGCAACGTATAGCCATTGCGAGAGGTATTCTGGATGTGGTCGGGCACGTGTGTAAATATTTTCCGCGTGACCGACCCGGACCGACCCAACTGAAATGAATCCTTGCTCGTGCATCCCCAAAGAAAACTGCGGCAAAATATTTCCCGAAATGGCGCAGTCCGCATTCATCACCGAAATGCCGATGTAAAAAAACAATATCCAGCCAGAGCACCATGAATGTTGAATGATTGGCACTCGTACCGTGTAGCGGCTCTGCAGAGCGCAGTCCTCCTTGCGCCGCCCATCCAGCTCCTCAGAGAGCTGCTTGATTTTCTCATTCATGCCAGTCACTTCGGCCTCCATATCAGATTTAGCTTGGCTCAGCTCCTTATACTGGCGCTGCATCTCCTCCAAGGAATTCTATCAGACAGCACGTCTTGTTAGTGGTACGAACCTTTTGTTTGGGCAACATTTGTACAAGTTAACTTCTCACACGAACTCAAAAAAAAAACGCTAAAAGCTTTTTAACGGTTATCATGCCACGCGGAATGTCTGAGTTTTTCTCCTCCCAAATCGACAAGGTTATTTTCGAATACCTATTGCGTTTTTAGGAGTGAACCTTTTTCTTGCTGCTTCTGGTAGCATTCTTTAAAGGGCTATTGTGAAATCTATGCAGTCCCTACTCTATTGTTTAATATTCAGTGTGGAACACCGGGCCATCTGCTTCTTGCTTTGCTGTCAGCAGTATTGTAAGTGTTTATGGAGAGATGATGGGCCTTGTCAGGCAGCAGGAAAATGTCACCTGCCATCGCACGCTCCTTCTGCTCTGCCATCTGGGGCTAATAGAAACACCTTATCTGGCTCAGCCCTGCCGAGCGCACACATTTATTCCTAAAAGCCAGCGTTGCTCTCCATCACTTTCGCTAAATACAACTGGAATTAAAGGTTACCGAAAGCCCTACTCGTCAAGCACGGCAATTGTAAACGTAAAGAGCAATAACAGTTCTACGAAGTGGCTGGGTGGGGCTCAGGGGTCACAACACGAAGCTGGCAACACTTAGAAACTTGGGTTTGAATTTGGGTTTCAGCCACCTGTGATTAAACTGGCTTCTCGAGTGCAGCGAGTAGATGGTTACCTAATGATAGCACATATTACATTTGGTTTTTCAGTTTGTTATGCTTAATCCTACTTCTAGATTTAAAATGTAGGTATTACTGACATGTAATGAAGTACATTTCTAGAGGATGAAAAAGTGTGCTCTTAAGTGTGGCTAGTTTAGGTTTATTCAAGTGACTAGGGAAGTAGTCACGTGGCATCTTCTGGGGCTGTTTAATGTCTTTAGTTGAAAAGTTGAAAAGGCAAACTATACATCACTAGCGGGAAGTAGCCAGCGTTGCCCGGGGGAAAAATATATTTCAAAACATTCTCTCAAAAACATAACATATACATACACAAATAATAATAGTGATACATTGTTAATTTAACTCCTTTACATTTGACGGATGGGAAAAAGAAATCGCAATTTATTGGTCGGGGGGCTTATTGTGTCGTACGTGTGTAGTTTGTTGAAATGTAAAGCCAGCAGTTTGAGAGTTAAATGCGTCACAAGGGTGTGTCCACACAAAGACAGACATGAAATTACTTTTATAGGTAAGATACTATTATTTAAAATAATCTATACCTCGAGTTTCCTCGCTGGTTGCTTGCTGGACTCTGCTCCATCAACAATAACTCTGTTGTTAGAAGGCTGGCTAAACAGGAATTTTCCGCGAAACAAACACCGAGTTGAAACGATGGAAGAAGTTCGGAAGTCATTATAGTGACACCAAAAAGGTGGGAGTAACAAATACAGAAGACGGACACGATTCATTTAAAATTACTTTTCAACTTGTACTCCAATTAACATAATTATGTTGCCAAAATATCCTTTAAATTCCAGAGAATATATAAAAAACAATACATATTATCTTACCATTTTAGTACGTAATATGTTTTTATTACTTTCAGTGCTCTCAGTATTAAAACTACAGATGTCTCCTATTTTCTGTTGTAGAGCAACGGCTTCTCTATTCGCGAGAATCATAATAAAAACACATGTCGAGGAGTGTGTAAACAACATTTTGCGAACAACATTGCCCCTTCTTGTAGCCTTGCCAGCTGCACGAAAAGACTGTGTTGTCCCATCGAGGTGATGATGATGATGACGACGACGAAGGGTGCGTTACCTTCAGCTGAGCGGCCTTGGAGGTGACAACAAGGATGTCGGATTCACCCTCAGTCTCCAGGGTGAAGAGCTCGTCGGACTCGGAGGAGTTGCGGAACTGAAACGGCGTGCTGGCTCCGCGGATCTCGCCATTGCTCGTGACATAGCACAGCTGGTAGAACTCGCCGTCGTCTTTCGGCAAGTAATACGCTGTCAGGGGGGTCGAAAGGTCACAAGGTCGCAAGTGGCGATAAACGTAATGTAGAGGTGTGCGTGCGTGCAGCACCTTGTGTCAAATGCTTGCTGGATGAAGGCTTCCCCCCCATGCCGTGCGGGTGGACAAGGCGGAGATTAATAACACATTTTAAAAGACCAACTGCAAATTACAATTGCTTATTGATTTAATAGTCGCCGTTGCTTTTCGGTGCAATATTATTATCCTGATTGATTAGAAATTAACACATTAGCATACAAATGTGAAATGCTGTAATTCGTTTTAACCTGATAATTGCCCAATTTGGCTTTAAATAAAGGATTAAAATGATTGGTTGCTATATTTAATGCAAATCAGTAAACATCATGGATCAAGCGCAGTGGAAAAAGACATAAAACTGGAGGCAGCAATGTTCGTTGATGCCAGCACGGAAGGCGTTAATGCTCACCTTGGAAAATGAGATGCTGCTCCGAGCCGAGGCTGGTCTGAGTAGAGCTTGGCACTGGGGCCCACAGAAAGGTGAAGTAGTCACGTGGGGTACGCCAGCCGACCTACACACACACAAGCAAGGCTGGGAGTGTCACTCAGTCCACCTCGCTGGGCTAAATCGACCAAAATGGGAACCGCGCAATGAGGATGACAGACGAGAGATGATGCCCTCTGGTCTGCATGATAGTATGATCAACAAGCTAAATTTCCATTTTTTTTATATTGTTTAATTTTAGTTCAATTGTTATTTGAAGTGTACTATCGGTCATTATCAAGTCATGAGATGAAGTGACCTGCTCAGAAATCTTGCCCCAACCTATGCATTATTCAGTGTTAAAGAATGACTTGTGGAAAGTGACATCGCAAAACTACTTCTGAGATCCATTCAAGTGACCTCTCATCCACATTTGGCGGTACCACTGTATCGCCCGTCCTGTTCGAGATGTTCGTTGCATTGCGTTAAAACCAAAAGCAGAATTTAAATTCTAAGAGCTGGATTGTTTGCCACATTATGAAAACCAGATTCAATTAAATTGATTTTTGCGCCATCATTGGTGACTTGGTCTAAGTCTATTAAGTCACTGCAACTGAGAACCCAGATGAATCACAGGAGGCTATACTTCAGACATGTGGACATGTGCCCCTAACCATCGCAACCAACTGTTCATGATTAATAAAATCAATAACTTTCTTTACACATTCTATTCTGAACTTACAAGTTGCTTTATTATTTAGAATTTTCATGAAATTATCAGCATCCCGCACACGCAACTAGTGTAACACGTGTGCTCATTTTAATGTAAAAAATTTTTATCAGGGCAGGAAAATAATCATCAGTTTGTGCAGCTATTAGGAAATTTAGTCATCTGACACTGAACAGAAGGCAGCCCAATAGTCATTGTACATGCAGCACTAATAATATACAAGCTCACAGGGTCTGTGGTGATAAACAAATTTCCCAAGTGGAACAACCGAGCCTTGAAACTATAAGGACAGCACTCTCTTTATAAGCACTAAGGGAAGTGTCATCTATAAATAGCACAGAATAACTTGTTAAGCAGATTGAGACACCGCGAGCAGGAGGAAGCTCATGTGATGGCCGTGTGTGCCCGGTTTGTTACAGTTCTGGGAATGACAAGCTTTGGCAATGAAGGTGAATTGCACAGAGGCGCTTTCTTTCAGTCCGTCATTACTTTTGCGTTTAATGTACGAGGCATCGCGGGCCTTAATCCACTGAAAGGATACTGACCGTAACAGGTTAAGAAGGATGGGTTTTTGCTGCACTTAAATGCCGTATATATAAAGCAAACCTCAGCAGTGTAATACTATTCCGCTGTCTTCAGGTGGCAGCAAATACCTATATATTAACGGCAAATACACAAGCAACACCGAACAGAGGGAACTCTACTAGTCAAAACCAGAACTGGAAGAGGGCTCGATAACCTATGAAGCATTCGGTACAAATTTTAAAATGCGCAACACATGTTTACAGTGGGGAAATACTCTACCGTAAACATGTAATGAGTCACCCCTAACGCAATTCTATGATCTTGTGACAATTTGATGTAACGATAAAATGTTACAAATCGATTACTTGAATGGCTCACATGGTGAATGCAGGGAGAAACTGCAGAATTTAACACAAATGATAATGTACAGAATATATAGTGGTGCGACTGCATAGGACCTGTTATAAGAATCTATGGAATAATTCTTGAACAATCGCATGTGCAGCCCATGACAGACATCCAACATTGCATTCACAAAGGGCTGGTTGCATGTAGAACTTCTTTCGCAACGTACACAGCCAACGGTGCTAATTGAAGGTGTGGCCACTTATTATTATTGTTGGTATGAATCTCTGGAGCTCGATCTAGCAGATTACCCTTCAGCCCAGTGGCGTGATCAAGCAATTACAGGGCCAAACCTTTACCTGCTGGATTTTGTAGTGATAGAAATCCCCAAAAATACATCGAACAAAACCAATCCTTACAAATATTATTCAATGCATGTACCATGAGAGTAAGACTCTTTTTTAATTGATACATTATTCATTCATACTAGCTTGTTTTCCCGTCCAAGGACGGGTGCATATTGCAGTAAATGTGAAATATTCAATAGAAAAATTGTTCAGCTCATGATTATTAATGAGGGGGGTGGGTTTCCCTACGTGGAGGGACGTCACCCGCTAATGGTTATTGTGGAGGGGTGCGGCATGTGGAGTGACGTCACCCGCTCATGATTATTAATGAGGGGAGGGGTGTGGCATGTGGAGTGACGTCACCCGCTCATGATTATTAATGAGGGGAGGGGTGCGGCATGTGGAGTGACGTCACCCGCTCATGATTATTAATGAGGGGAGGGGTGCGGCATGTGGAGTGCACGACCTTCTTGTGCGTCAGTGTAAGTTTCCACGCGAGCATGAATATTAATGAGGGGGGGGGATATCTTTTGCAGTGACGTCACACACGGATGTAGCACTGTGCTGCGTCGAGAAATGTTTTACCGTCACTTTCTGTAAAGAAACGTCTTATTTGAAGCGACTTTGCGTAATAAATTATTAAATTCAGCACGACCTTCCTCTGCGTGAGTGCAAAAATCCACCCACTCATGAATATTAATGATGGGGGGGGCCTCATGTTGAGTGACGTCACATGCAGGCTACACATTCTTGGCTCATGAGATTAGTAATTTAACTTTACACTAACCAGCTCTACCCAGGGTCACGATTAGAATTAAGAGAAAAATCTGTCCCGTTTGTTACACCTCATTATTTATCCTTTGTTCTGTCTCTAATGTAAAGTTTGTTTGCTCTATTGACCTAATTGTAACATGAGCATAGTTGTCATAAATTGTACATAACCAAGTCTCATGTACATGATTTGATGCATGTATTGTAAGCATTACAATCGATTTATAAATTAGTAAATAAATACATCGTTGCATATCCAGTGATGAAGATGACTAGTTTCAGCAATTAAGCTGATGGTTGCGAGAACACTAACAAAGAAACCTATTATTCATTGGGTCTTTCGGTTGAACCTATCTATGTCACTTTACCGAAAGACCCAAAGAATATTAATTCCTGCAGCCACGAAAGCTTTAAGTCAAGATTTAAAGAAACCTATTGATTTGTTTTACACCGAACTAATAATATAATGCTGATTACAGGTTGGGAGGTCATAACCTTGCATTGTCTGTTGATGAGGCAAGCAAGAAATCTCGAATTTGAAGAATGTGGTGTTGAGTCCATTATAGCTGAGCAAGGTTTGCCAAAATAATGCTGTTGTAAGCAGTTTGCTTTCAAAACCTGTTTGATGCAAAGTTCACAGCAGTGCATATTTGACATTGTCGTGTGCCTGTAAATGCACACGGCAATGTACCTTGACCGGAAAGGATACAATGTGTAACATTCTCAGAGTTGTGGACTAAGATATATATTTTATCGTGTAAAAAGTGTGGGCCTATGACCAAATCACCCTCAAGTGTGCACTATCTTGTAAACTCTAGGCAGCTAAGCAAAGTTGAGCCTGGATAGTGCTTGGATGGGCAACAAAACCACGCACAAAACTAGTTGTTATAGGCTCCTGCAAGGCTACGTGGTGGGCAGCAAAGGGCAGTGCCACAAAGTTCAACGTTGTGCTCTCCTTCTATCCTCCAACGTCTATGCTTCCCACCTTGACCAAGCCCGCACTGACCATGGTAGTGAAGTGTGTGTGTGGTTAAATAACCCCCGTGACCCACGAATCATGAAGCCTCCTTCCAGCAGTGAATTGGCAAACGGGCTATACATGTAGACATATTGCAATTTATTGACCATGATTTCTTTATGGATAAAAGTCACGAGTGTTTTAAAGAGAGAGCACTAAAATACACTGAGAACGTTAACCTACATATACAGGGCTTTTGAAAAACACAATAAAATGGAGCAAAGTTCAACCCTTGGCTCTTTCCTAACTATTTGTAAATGACGGAACATTCAGTTCCCTTTCCAAGGCAATCTGTGTAGATGCTGACTCACATGAATGAGAATGACACATTTAAAAGCATTGTAAGATATTTTTCAAGACTCAAATGCGTTTCCAAGACTGCATCCACGTGACATATTATTATAATACTGCATACTAGATCAAAGCAAATAAGTCTGAACATGGTAGTACAGCAACGGATTGTTGAATCCATCTGTGAGGCACTCTGTTAACTTCTCTTACACGTGGGTTTTCTCCACATACTCAGGTTTCCTCCCACATGCCAAACATTCATCAATGGAATATCAGCAATCTCCCACGGTCCCATGTTGTAACAATGTGTCTAGCCAATGCACACCAGCTGACCTCATTCCCTCCATCTTGCGGTAGTCATACTCTCAGGCATGTTCCGCGCTCGCAACCATTCCAACTTGTGAGTGACCATTATTTAGCTTGTATTTATCTTGAGCGTAAGTTTTCCCAATTATTAATGTTTTTATTTAATGTAATCCATGTCCATTGCTTGTTACGACTGCCATCAGTGAATCAGTTGACATTTATAAAATATTTTACGAACCAAAGTCTAAATAAAACTATTGAGGAATGACAAAAAAAACAATAATATAAACCTACATTGAGATTGCACAAAAAAACACTTTCAACTGTGTTCATTTACAGCAATATTAGATGCTTTACAAAACATAGGACTGGTAAAATAAAGACAAATAACATAAATGGAAAATCCATAATATTGTATGTACCTGACTCAAATTCACTAAGAGTATGGAGGCACTCTGTTTATTGTACGGCCTTAACAGTTAACACTTGGTAACTAGGGTCCCCAGTCAGGGCAGCTGGTAGACTGCCTGACTGGCCACGCCGAGAGGATGAAGACGGAGATGACGGTGAAGACTCCAGCAAAACGACGGGGATCCCCCCACTCCAAACGACAGCCCCGAGCACCCCTCCCGGGGCCCAGCTTATACTGTCAGCGTGGCCTGGCTCCGCCCCCGGCAACGCCCCCTTCTGGAACCTTCTAGAGGGTTCTCGATGTGCCCCTTCCGTAATCTTTCCCCTACATCCCTCTCTGGTCTATCACGTGACCTGATGTCAGTCGGGGCTGCTGCAAGCTGCAGTTCCCCTTCCCTGCCAGCAGCCAGCGCTATGCTGCTACGTGACCGATTCTATGTCACTACATACCAAAAAATCTCACACGTAGGTAATGACAATATAACAGTTTGGAAGCTGCATTACTTTTGCTTCAGTGAGTCATGTTTAAATAATCTATTTTGTTTAAAGTTTAAGTGTCATAAGCAAAAGTGTGAAAAATCAACAGGGTAAATAAAAAAACAATTGACTTTCTTTATATTTGATGCAGTAGAATGCAGTGAATGTGTTTTCAGTCAAAACAAGCTGCACATGACAAATGCCATCCAATTTGCTGGCAGTCATAATCGGAAGCCTACTGTAAAAACAATGCAATTATCACAAGGCACAACATCAGTAAAAGCGATGATTAAAACAAAACAATTTTTTGGAAAACAGTAAGGTATTCAACATACTTTAATTTAAATAATTAGAGTAATTCCTCCTATTTCTTAAGAAACATCTAGTACGGGAAAAACTCACACAACCCCCTCACCTTGAAGATGCCAACCCAGTCCTTGGAGTGTGGCTGAATGTGCTGCGTGAGTGTGTAGCGACACTCCAGGTGTGTGTCGGGTGGGTATGCCTGGGCCACGTTGTGGAAAATGACGTGTGAGAAGCTGTACGGCTCGAGATTGCCGTCGCCCACAGGAGGTGTCTGCACCAATTCGGCCATGGTGTAAAACTCTGCGAAAAGAACGGCACAAAATAGTGCGACGGTCACAAATCGTGCTCACGTTGGGTTTTTGTTGAAGTATTGTAATACTTATGAGAAAAGGATATGTGGATTATGATAATTATGGTTTTGTCTACATTACTGTAATGGGGCAACCTACAATGTAACGTGCCATTTAATAGCATAACTTTCAATACAAATTAGTTTATTTAGTGATACATTTTGATTATTTAAGAATTTGTCTATTACTCAAGAGACCAATTATAAACATTTTTCATCTGGAATTTTTTTTTTTTAATTGTTATCTGGTCTTTATGTGCTCTGAAGAAAGGTAATTGGTTAAAAAGTCACTTATTAGATTTTTATTTTAAGGCAGTGTTATTGACGCATATGTTCAGTGTTTTGATATTTGTATACAACTGCCAACGCAGAATCACAATCTTCTCATCACATGTCATACTTAATATTGAAAACATCCTTCTAAAAGAGCCATGTTTTGATGTCTCACTCAGGACCAGACAGAAACAATTTGAAGAGGATACATTTATATGATTTGATGTCACCAGCCAGACAGGTTAGCAAGTTCCCAGGAAATTAAGATTATTAGGTGCAAATCCACAATCACATCATTATAAATTCACAGGTTGCAAAATAAATACATCTTATTGTATATTGCATTGAAGTGTGGTCGTATTCAAGTTATGTATAAAAACATATTGTGTTATTATGTAAGGAGTTCCCCTGTAGGAAGCCAGTCCAGTTTTTTTTCCACTGCAAGTGTGACATGGTCATATTTCCTGACTGCAGATTTATTGAGTAGCATTTTGAACTTGCTGCAATGGAGACACCACCATGAATGGCACTGTGATAGTCTAGATGGAATTTAATTAAAGAGTTAGTTATTACAAAATAAAATGTGGCTTTTGTTTATTTGGAATACGAAACACTAAAGTGCAAAAAAATTATTTTGTGCATACCTGCCTCGGCTAACACAAGTCTAAAGCTTTATTTAGATTAAAACAAAAACGTTACAAGTTACTGTGAGGGTAGACCATGATAACATTCCAGTGAAGCCGCTCCCATGTTTCAATTCGTCAACGTGGTGGCATCATTAAAGCGCTAACTTTAGTTTAATATTATCGTTCACAAAGCTTCAAACTCATACGCTTTGGTTCTTTCGGTAAAGTCACGTAGGTTAAATAAATTAAAATAGAAATAAATAAATCACGACGTTTCGATTGCAACACAAGCAATCATCATCATGTGTGATAACCACAGCAAGAATTTTTTTTTACTGAAGTGGGAGTAATGCCTGGACAGCCAAGGGCACAGCTTAGGTACACCTCTAAAATATCTTCGTTTTTTGCATTGCATTCCCTTAAAGCTGTAAGTTAAATACAGTTCTCATAAATAAATAAAAACTACTGAAGTTACAATACAGTCACGTTAAGCCTGCCACTAACCAGTGTGAAAAGTAAATGCCACTCTGTTCTACTTTAGGAAGATTGTATCCCAAGCTTGCATATCAGCCATAATGCCGGACTCTACTGTATTCTAACTATAGCACACTCAAAGCAATGTTTCAACAGCAGTGTATTTGCATAGTTACGAATGCCTGCTATGATAGGTACTACTTGAACATGATGTGGATCAACCACTATGAACAATCATACCATTTTCATTCAAAGGACTTCACATCTAAGCACAATGCCTTTTTAGAAGCAGCAAACTTCTGATTGACTGACAATGCCTGCAATATTGTTCTGTACTTTTGACTTGCTTGTAATGTTTTTGTTGGGCATGTAACAATTGAGCCATATAACATACAGCTGGCTGGATGGCTCAGATGTCCAAGTGATGAGCTGGCACTTTAAGATGCAGTACTTTCTACAGTCCATAATACAGTTTTTTTGGGTTAGATCACGTAAATATATAAATGTGTAATTAAACCCGCTACCACCCGACAGAGCCATTTAGTAAGGTGTGTCACGTAAACAGAACATGCAAATTCGTTACTATTTATGCGATATAACCCAAAAAACCTGCATCATGGATAAAATTGATCGTGAACGCCTAGGTGTTAAACGGATTTCCTGCAGTGTTACTTAAAAAGAGGAAGAAACGCTAGTTTCAGTTCAAGTTCATGTATTAGGTATAGCCCTGTGAGCCATTCGGCTCTTGAATACAGTATTAGTATATCAACACTATGCAGCGACCTGCTGCAGAGGTTGTATTGTTATTCGGATATAATTTTACCCAGGAAAGCTGTATTGAGTCTCAAGAGGGTCCTGTCGTGTGGCGTTTGGCCAGTTATTTTGTTTTATGTCTTTAGTAAAGCGTGAAACTGAAGTGCCCAGAAAAAAACCCAACATAAAGAGGGAATCATACTCTTTGGTTCTTTCGATAAAATCACGTAGGTAGAAAAAAAGAGGGATGTCACAAAAATGTTTGAAATACAGCCAAGCTGGCTGTATCCCATTCCTGGCCACCTTGCAGCCCAAGTTGGTTTGTGAGTTTCAGAAACGTCCCTGCATGAGCCATCGACCGTTGCCTCTAAAACGGCGCATTATGAAACGTGCAGAACAATGGCACCGTGAGAAGCATGCTTTGAGATGAACCCAGCAACCTCAGTTGCATTTTTGACCGTGGCTACCATCAGTGGTGAATATCTGAACCAGTTCTGGGCTGTACCTTCACCAACCCGCATTGACCTGTGTAGGTGAAGCATGGTCAAACAACCACCAAGGTCAACATGTGGAAGGCCTTCTCGTCCAGTCGTGGATCAACGTATGTGAAAAGATAACTTGAATTGTATTTATTGGTAAATCTTATGTGAGGCTTAGTAAAGTGAAAGGTTACCTTTTCATAATCCATCTGTGAGATTATAAACTACGGCATTGCTTCATGCTCATTTATATATTATCATACTGAACTCAAATTCCTTGGTAAAGTACCAAACTAAAACTGTACAGCTAATTTACATTTATATGTTTAAGTAAACTGTTTTATAACACATTTAAATGGTTAAATGATACAAGTACTAGCAAGCAAATTCATAAGTAATGTATAGTAACTGCAGTAGATATAGTTTGCTCCTCTCCACAACCTCCTCAATCCCTGCAAAATGTACGTTTTTTTTTTATATTCTGCTGCTCCCAGTCAATAATTTATTTCCCTTCGCTGGCACTTGAATTTTTCTGTCTTTTCTGCTTCCCTTCACTCTGCTTTATTTAAATGTATACAGTACATAATTGTCAATCAACTGTTCCATTAAGGACTCCCCCATGTTGGTCCTGGGGTTATTTAACCATACTACATTACACTTTAAGCACGTGTTGATGGAGCAAGACTTATTCACAATTCACTCGCCAGTGATGTTAGTGGTGGGCTAGAATTGAACTAAACACTGTACCACCACTTCCCACATTGTAATGCACCACGTGGTTTATATTGTTGCCATATTGGAATTGATCCTAACCTAACCCTGATGAGTGGGTGTAAACATGTATCAAATTATATTGAGCTTAAGCTGCATCCACTAGAGGCCACTACATTCACCACAATGGGTTGGTGTCAATCGTTAAACCCACACACTGATAACATTACACACGATAATGGAGAAACCTTTGGACTTTGACTCCAATACCTGTGCTTATGCACACACAAATAATTGGTTACCACATCTCTGAATATAATGATGCACTAATTAAGTCTTGTAAATATGGGACGTAATGCTTTCATGTATGCCATTATGTAGTATCACTGTACCACTGTGTGCTTGCTAGAGTGGCTAATTATGTGAGGGGTTAGGGGTGAAAGCTAGGGCCCTAAATACTACCTCCACACAAGGCCGTTTGACCTCTTAAAATTTACATGGCGTAATGACGAATGGCCAACTCTGATTGCCACCTAAAATTTCATAACCAAATTTCTGGATGTGATATATTCAAACGTCAAGTGGTCTCTCATCTCAAATGTACGTTGTCATGGGCCTGTGGTGGAAATTCTGCATTTCTACAACAGTGGCCAGTGTATCCATAAGACAATCCCTGTTGATTTCACACAAAGTGATGCTCATTTGATGTACCCTGGAGAGATGTCTGCTAACTCACGATAGAGAGATCTGAACCTATGAACTGTCTGTTAAACTTATTTTGCACGGTGATAATCGGAGGTGCGGGATCTTCCCTATGGGAGTCCAGTATTTTAAACTTAGTGGCACTCTGTTTGATTTAATCAACACTCTCTATGTAGTCAGGCTACAGTCTATTGCGATGGAATGTCATCGGTTCTTTAGCTGCGGACTTGGAAGCCAGTGTCATCTGGAATAGGAGACATGTAGTTCTCTTGATTGTGTAATGAGCACGTACACGTCGATCACGTGTGTCATTTCACATCAGCACGAGGACGTCCACAGCTGCGCGGATTATTTTTCCGCACTTGGTCATGATGGTCATTGTGGTGAACGCGAGGCGCACAAGGCACGGCATCATAGAATCACAATTTGGTAGCAGTGTCTAGCAATTTTCTGATTCAGTGCAGCAGAGACCGAGTCTCAAGGCTGAACAGATGATCTGTAAGTTTCACAGGTCTCTCTACTTAATCCACCAATCATTGCCTCCAAAGCGATGGATCACAGACGTTCGCCATCACGATGACATCTGTAAGGCTGTTATAAAAACGAAATACTGTGCAAGTATGCATTGCATATGGATGTGGAGTCCCTTTAAAGTGCGCCCAGAAAATAACTTGGCCTTCAATCAATCCACTACGGGACGAAGAAGGCCTCCCCAGGTCTTCCGGCCATTTGAGTTGGTCAACAGAGGTTGGTGAAAGGTTAGTAGAGGAATGGTTCAGATAAGATCCGCCAAGCGTGTTAGCCGTGAGCGGGAATCGCTCAAACTCAGGAGGTTGGGTTCATAGTGCACTGCGTCATCGCAAGCTAAACGTACTGCGCACGTCCGTAACGGCCATAAAGAGAGAGAGGCGCATACGCAGCATTAACCTACTCAAAACAGCGCACGATCGAGAGACGCAGCAGACACAATAGTACATACATACAAACACACGCATCTATATATAATAATAAGGGAGAAAATTATTAAGTCAAAGGGAAATGCCGCAATTGGGGATGTGAAGGCACTTGTTCAACTTGGGCCTCTTCCTACGTCACTGCCGCTCGTAACGCACGACATTCATGATGGTGATTCCGGGTATGGTGATGATGGCGATGTGGATAACGTTGACGATGTGGATAACGACGATGGCGATGTGGATAACGACGATGGCGATGTGGATAACGACGTTGACGATGCCACGCAGTTACCCCCGACTGATGATTGGTACGAAGCTTTAATGTTGGTTGTAAGAGGTTTACGGTAGTGGCGCTTGACAGCGATGCGAGCAATGATGGTTATGAAGATGTGACAGTGACTATGATGAGTCAAACATACATTGAGGGTGATGATGGTGATAGTAATTGGCCGTGATAGTTAAGATTACTGTGCTAATGGCTATGACGATGCTGAGGGGACGGCGATACTGATGATGGCAGTGGAAGATGCTGACGACGATAACAGTTAGAAACACGATTGTGAACACCAACGACTATCTTGTAACGTTTCACAGTTAAATCTGACGTTGGTGCGACCGAAGACGACGTGTATCGATATTATTAAGATTACGACAGCGACGACTGATTATGATGACGACGACGACCATCACTCACCCCGAGCCGAGTTCTCGCGTGCCCGTCCCTCCTTCTTCAACCCCTCGTCTGGGCCGCTACGAACGGCGCCGACGAGCGCAGTGACTTGGGCCACCTCCGGACTCTAACCGTGTAGTGCCGCCCGATCTCTTACCACGAACCCGCTCAAGCGACTGCCCTCCTCAGCCGACACCAAACACCGCCACAACACCAACACCGCCAACACTAACAGCACCAACCACGCCGGAAGTCGCCTCCCACAATCCCGCGCGCGCGCCGCTTCCGCTCTCCACGCGCGTGTTTGGGTTTTTCCACCCGCCCCCCCCGCGCGCCTCACCGATACCGCCTTCTGATTGGTGGGCACGCCGCGAGGGGAGGGGTTGAGAGAGGTGGGGGATGGGGTGGGGGAGGGGTTGAGGGTGGGGGGGGGATTGAGGGTGGGGGTCGAGAGGGGGCGTGGTGCGATCCTGTGTTGACTCGTGACGTCACGCGAATGACGTGTGAGTTGGTGACGCACAGAACCAGAATATTTGAACTAAAGGAATCCTATGAGCTCTAAAGATCTGTTCTATTCACAGACATACAGTCGTCTCGACAATGAGTGGCGGTGCGTGGCTCGCTGCGGCTTTGTCGATGGGGACGGTGGTTGTGGGTGTTGTTATTTATCCCAGGGAAGTCTCCACCGTTGCTCATGGCTCTCTTTTATTCAAGATTGTCTCACATTGTCATATAGCTACTTCCGTGCCCAGTTACATGCTAACTTCTCACTTTAACATCATGATAATCTCTAACATTAACATAGCTACTTCCGGGCCCAGTTACATGCTAATTTCTCACTTTAACATCATGATAATCTCTAACATTAACATAGCTACTTCCGGGCCCAGTTACATGCTAATTTCTTACTTTAACATCATGCTAATCTCTTACATTAACATAGCTACTTCCGGGCCCAGTTACATGCTAACTTCTCACTTTAACATCATGATAATCTCTAACATTAACATAGCTACTTCCGGGCCCAGTTACATGCTAATTTCTCACTTTAACATCATGCTAATCTCTTACATTCTCATAGCCATTCCGTACCCAGTTACATGTTAATTTCTCACATTAACATCACTAGACCCAGCCACTCCTTTATAACCATGGGGCTACACCAATTTCAAACATTTAAAACAGTCTGCAGCAGCAGGCCATGCTTTTCCACCTGATGACGGATGCTTGTGTTGCGCCCGAAACGTCGTGATTTATTTGTATTTTATACCTACGTGACTTTACCGAAAGAACCAAAGAGTTAAGATGGTCCCTGCCACGTTTTTGTAGGAGGGATGAGTTGAGTATATACTACTGCAGGAAATTTCAAGTGGAGCTAGAAAGCTCTTAACGGCGTTAGCAACAGATGTTGTTACATTAAGCGAATGGTAGGGGACGATGTATGTCATGCATAATCCCAATTGAGCAGTTTTCGGGAAAATTTGGTAAATTTGGCCCATATGGTTAGTTAATTGTGTTGACTTTGGCTATTGTATTGATGTTGTGGTGGCAATGACGATGGCGGGTGATTGTGATGATAGTTGTGAGTGTGGTTTATTTTGGTGGTAATTGTGATGTGATTATGAAAGATGTGGACACCATCTCATAAGTGAGCTCCTTCGACAGGCGAGGCTGCTTTGGTTGGGTCATGTAGCCCGCAAGCACAGCCACTACATCCCCAAGCAGCTTCTGTGCGTCCGGATAGAGGGGGCTCGACGCCTCACGTAAGATAAGAGATGGGCTGATGTGGTACAGAAGGATGTGGAGCTGAGTGGACTTGCCGATGACCGGCACCAGCGGTGTCAAGATTGGCCTCTATGGAGGATGCTCGTTAAGGACGCTCCTCGGCACTTGGAAGCAGTCGCCCTCCAGCAACAAGAGGGCAGATTAACAACGCTCACAACAACGAGCAGAGCGCCGGGCGGTTAAAACGAAGCACGTTGGCACATTAGGAAGCGCCTGTCAGTCAACCAGTAACACCTGGATCTGTCCCGTGACCCGCCAGCAGCGAGCCTTCCAAAGTGGACCTAGCTTGGCACAAGCGCCATGGTGACGTCACCGCCACTTTGTGGTGAATGGCGGCTGTTGTGATTTGTGGTGACTGAGAACAATTACAGGCATGTTGATCTTTAACGATGGCGATAATTACGATGATGGTTGTGATAGCCACTTGCACACGAGCTCGTTCAATCAAACAATCCTCTCTCGCTTCATTCCATCAACTTACAGCAAATGTACACATGTCAGCCTTGGAACAGGGTGTACCATAGTTTCCATGGTGTGTGAATTTTGTTTTTATTTTTGGGGTCTGCCTTCGAGTTGAGGCAAGGTAATTCGCCCACACTTGGTTTCCGCGGGGCACAGCAAGTTGCTGGAAATGTTGGTCTCCATGCCCAGGGCGACTCGCGTTACACCGCACCCAATGTGGCCGCGTGACTCGTGTGCTGAACATTGCTCGCTTGCGAATTCTGCGTCACTTCGCCGAGGGCTGCGAATTTCCCGCGTGACTTGCCGAGTTCGCTTCGGTTCTTGCTGCCTTTCTCACGCATTGCTGCTGTACGTGTATAGAACAAAAATAGCTGGTCATGAGTGACTCCGTCAGTGACTGGTGTCAACGTGAATTGTGTTCTAGAAGGGGCTACATACAGGAGCTGAGATAGTAACACTAATATTGTTCAAATATGACTAACTTGGTACCAATACAATTTCCGTTTTGTCCATATTAGCATTTGAACTTAGCCCCAGGAACGTTTGTATCCGAAGGCATTTAAGAGAACTGAAAACAAATATGACGCCATATTTTCCATAGATGAGACATTTTTTTTGACTTTTTTTGGTATTGTGACCAGGGTGGGGTTAGTCATATTTCCAAAGGGGTAGGTGATCAAATACAAATTTTCAACAACCCGGACTGGCTTGCATGGTGAAGTATGGTCTGACTGCAGGAATTCATATTCTTTGGTTCTTTTGGTAAATTCACGTAGATAGAAAAAATTATAATAAAAATAAAGTGAAAAAAAACCCACTAATGTAGACTGTAGCCTGGTTCTTAATCGGAATGAGTGTACTGGCAGTCAATAATGTAGACTGTAGCCTGGTTATTAAGTTTGGTGAGTGTACTGGCAATCTACAATGTAGACTGTAGCATAATAACCAGACTGTAGCATTAACAAACATTGCTTCAATCTACATTATAGACTGCCAGTACACTCACCAAACTTAATAACCAGGCTACAGTCTACATCATAGACTGCCAGTGCACTCACTCCGATTAAGAACCAGGCTACAGTCTACATTAGTGTTTTTTTTAATTTTTTTTAAATTATATTTGTATTTCTTTATTATTTTTATTCACTGATATTTCTATGTGACCGATGTCACAGCTGGAATTCCCATCTAAAGGTGGCACTTTCGGATTTCAAATTGACTCGTGACATCACCGCCCTGCGGTGACTCGAGTAAACACACACGTTCGCCGCGCGCTCGCATCACACGCGCGCCCAGCGTGAGTGAGTGAGGTTATTCATGAGCATTGCCGCTGCAACCTTCAGTGGCTTAGACACGAGTCCATTTTCAAAACACACTCGGGTTCAGTGTCAGGTTGCTGCCCGTTGCGGTAACGGTCAGCCGCAACTGGACCTGAAATTCCGGTTTAAATTCGATCACCCGGCGCGGCCGTTTGAAACAATGGGCACGTTTCCTACAATCCCCTCGCCTCTGTGCACGCAGCAGCAAAACTTGGGTAGACCACAGTTGGTCAGCAGGTCACGTGTGGTGGGGTAAAGTGTGGGTACTCTCCCCTCTTAACAAGACGTCTGGCCAGCTTGGAAGAGTAGGCCAAATACCATCTCGTGGGGCTTCACTAGAAAGTTTAGAGCTCCATCTATGTGGCAGCCCTAACGCCAGCAGTGGCAAGCGCAGGCAGTGTCGGGGCTGCAAGTTAGCCTTGTTTTACCTATTTAAATGCCAACGCTTGCGACCTTCCATGGGTTATTTTGAGAGAGTGCAGGAGGAGCCAGTTATAAATATAGATGTTGGACTTTCCCTGTCCAGAAAGTTACTTTCCTGCGTCGAGAGCGTCTGGTGACTGCTGTTATACTGTAACAGGTGTCGTTCGAAAGGTGACAATTCACCGTGATGGGATTCCATTAGCTGTTTAGAAATTGAGACCTGGGACCCTGTGTTAACATTGGAACACTCCACGCTGTTGTCGTTTTTTTTATCATGATGGCATATATTTAACCAGGAAACGCTGGCCACATTAATAGCGTAGTGTGCTAACCGCTGCACCGCCGCTCCACTCTCATTAACATATCAATGCCCAGTTCTAATTGTAAGTGGTGCAAACATTATCAACAATCATCCCAAAAGGAAGGTGTCACGAGGAGCGATGTAGCTATTAATACACTGAGGATACATGTGGCTGGTAATGGTAGAATCATCCCCTGATGGGTATTACCATCGTAGTGAAAAATAGCTCCGTATTCACATGCATGTACAACGCTATGGCGTGGAGTTATTGGACAATACTGCACCAGGCTGGTCAGTACGGATTGTGAAGACCCAATTTAAATGTATTGGTGATTATTTCACACACACGGCAAGCTATCTAGTGTATATGATAATAATACACTGAAAACATTGACACCTATACATGCCGTAACATTAAACCCCGTGTTTCCGCAGAAGAAGAAAAATACTCACTGAATTATTAACATAGAAGATAATGGAAACATGATGCTGGGGTTTTATATTATTATCGCAAGATATTGTACTACGATATATGTATTGTTGCATTGTGAGACAGTGAGTGATGGAACCGGTTTGGGAAACCCTCCATCCAGCAGTGTGTGAGCATGGCTGATGATGATGATGGCGATTGCATCTGAGCTGGCCGCCAAACGAAAACAAACCACAGCTTTCAACACCGCGACCAATGCATTGTCACCTTCCAGACTGACTGTCATCTCGTCCACACAGTGTTCAACTACCACACTGAAGGTCACAACACTGCCCGTTCTCATAACCTTGCTCAATTCGAGACGTGCATTAGCTCTCATCTAGTATGCCATCCAGTGCAGGATTATCCGAGTAGCAAAAGTATATAGCATATGCTTTGGGCCCCGCACTTTCAAGGGCCCCGCGCTAAATGCTTTCAAGCTATAAATTCAGGTTCAGTGATTCTACACTTGCTCTATTACTATAATACTATACTGCCTTCAACTTTTATGA